GCCGTTGGCCGGCTTCCCGGCCTTGCAGCAAGCAGTGGAGATCCGCCTGATTGGCCAGGTGGGGTTGTCTCGATTGTTGGAGCGACGTGTTGACGGAGCGCTAGCATCACTCAGAAAAGCCCACCCCTGTACAGTCTCGTTTTCAGCTTGTGAAGTGCTTTGCAGTATTTGCTAGTGGCATGCTGCAGTGGTTGAATGCTGTGGAGCCAGTGCCCTGTCCGGTCCCAGCCTGGCCTGTTGTCTCATTATGAGTAAGTTTGTCCTGTGATTTTGGTGGTGTGAGCTGACCGCAGGAGACGAATGCGAAATACCAGGCGATGAGCCAATTGAATCTCGCCTTTTCAGCATTAAATTGTCGTTTTCAGATCTTTCAGAGCATAACGCCATGCTGCGTTTTGCGTGGGCGGTGTTTTTGTCTGGTTGCAGGTCGAAGTTTTAATTGTGCTCACATGTACCGGGAACCTTGGCTCTAGGATCGCCTTCTTTTGCGGTGCCATCACCAGCTGGATGTACACCAAGATCTTCTTCGCGGAGGCTTCGACTTACTTGCGGGTCGTCGCCCCGCAGCGTGGCCAGGTGATTGGTTAGATCCCTGGGAAGGGTTTTCTTTCTGCTAAGGGGGGGATGCAACCCAACGAATCAAAGGAAACCGCCCCTCTTCAGGCCCTCGTTGAAGGCGCTTTGTTTTATTGTGGGAATCCCAAGCTGCTAGATATCTGCCCTGATTCAAAGAGCCTCCTGACTTCACCAGCGGCAAATCGAGCATCAAAGACCACATTTGGAATCAGTCCAAACTGCTGGCTGCACAGGAGGTTCAGTACTTTCAGTGCCGCCTTTTTTATTCCCCCTCGAGCCCGTGCAAATTTGGTCGACCGTGCAGTGTTTTTGTTGCTGCTGGCCATTTGTAGTTTGGGAGGGGGGAGATTGACTAATTGGTTTATGGACTGTCAGGCTGAGCGCATTTCGGGTTGTGACATTCCAACACCCAGGTACATGGTCTCGGGCTGCTTCCTCCTGGCAACCGTGCCTCTTTTCCTACTGAAGCTGTCACCACAACTGCTGAATGAGTGTGACAAGCTCGACCAGGAGGCGAGTGAGTCAAGTTGCTCGTGCGAGCGTTGTGTCCATTGCGTGCCCACTGCACGCCTTTTGTCCGACATTTGAGGCGATCGAGAAAGCCAAGGCGGAGGCAGAGGCAAAAGAGAAGCCGGAAGGGGAGGCAAAGACGAAGGCAGAGGAGACGGCGAAGGCGGCAACGGGGCTGCGTTCTCATAGCCGGTATCAGAGGCCATCAAAAGTCCCATTAGGCTACCCTCACGGACATTTAGCACATGTCAAGTGCCAAAAACGCTCCCTTCGAAGACAACTGGGGACCTCGCTACGCTCATTTGCCTTCTGCTAGGGTGAGGAGCGAAGCACGGAGGCGTGGATGGGGGAGTGTGTGTGTGTGTGTGTGCGCGCGCGCGCGTGTATCTCTCTCTCTCTCACTCTCTATATATGTATGTATATTATATATGCGTGTTTGTGGTGTTTGTGTCTGTGTACGTATGTATGCAATGTAATGTAATGTAATGTAATGTAATGTAATGTAAGGTAAGGTAAGGTAAGGTAAGGTAATGTAATGTAATGTAATGTAATGTATGCATGTAATGTATGTACTTGAAAACGCCGCTCTGAATCTCACATTGGCACCTTGGCCTTGCATCACCTGGCCATTGGATTAAGGATCCGAGAGCCTTTTCCCTTTGATTTGCGATCATGGATGTGTGGTAAATTCCCGTGCAGCTTTAGACCACATTGTGACAAGTTGGCACCGGAGCCGCGTTGACAGGCCGGAGCTTTCTTTTTGGGGGCATGCCTACTTGGCACGCGATGAACTCTCAGAGCGATGGCGCTCCCTCTGACCAGGAAGCGACACCCGTACCTGTCGACGTCGCAGACCCAGGTGACCTTCAGCGTGAGCCCAATACAGCTGAGATTCCCCTTGGGCACGCCTTGGGTGCAACTCCAGTAGCTGCAGGTGGACCCCTGACGGTTGGAGGTGTAACACATGCGGTAGCACCAAGTTTTTCCAGACCAACCAGCCCGCCAAGATAGCCATAGATGCAAGGGTGACAAAAATGCTCCCAACCGCCGCTCCGTGAGTTCGTGCATCATGATCATGGCCAAGTTGCAATTGCAGATCATGTTCCCCAAGAGTACGGCCACATGTTCAATGTCAACATGATCCACCACCCAGACCACTGCATGCGCCCCTTCTTCGTTAACGAGGTTTCCGTCAAGGGCCCCGAGAAGTTTTGCGGGCACATGGTGTTGGATTAAGGTTGCCAGAGGACATGTTGCGGGACTGCTTGGTTTCGAGCGCATGTGCAACTTCTCAAATAACAAGGCCTTCAGCCCCACACCGTTGAGAGCAACGACGTCTTTCAGCGCCCCATCCTCATCTACCACAAGGGCGTACTTCCCTTCAAGTGTAGGTGGAGTTCAACTGGTTTTGGGCGCCTCTGTTCTTCATCAAGATGCTCCGGTGTTGGCTTCAAACCCCCTCCTCACGTCCCTCGGAGCCATCATCAACTTTCAGAAGGATTGGATCAGAATGATCACCGCATAGGGGGCCGAACATCCTGCGCTTCCCCTCGAACCATGCAAACATGAGCTGGGGCACTTTGTCTCATCAAGGCCTCCACCAGCAATGGATCTCTGGGAACTCTTTGCAGAAAAGCGCTACGCTCTACGTTGGCTTCCAAGTATCAGCTCAAAGCACTACAACCATGGACCTCACCCACAGCCAAGATTTGATGAAGACCTCAGTCCAGCACTCTGAAGCGGTTCAAGCCGTACCTCATTCTCATGGGCATCGACTGTAAGCGCTATACCCTCTTCAACAAGAACCTCAACTACAGCCAGCGTCCTCAAGAATGGCAAGAGCTTCAAGCACGAGATCGTCCATTCAGACGAATTGCCACCGACTTGGCCCGAGAACAACATGCAGCCAACCGGTACTTCCTGATCGAGAACCCGACCAGATCCGAACTTTGGTCAACTCCCGAGACGAACAAGCTGCGAGCCTTGTCAGGCGTGTGGGAAGTGATTGTTTATGTAGGCGCCTTTGTTTGGTGGCAACGTGGACGGTGTCCCCATTGCCAAGCCATTCAAGTTCATGGGCAACATCCCAGGCCTCAACGAAGACCTCAATGGTTCACTACCAGCACACGTCAAGGAGCAATGCTTGCCCGAGCAGCTCTGCCGCACCATCCTGAAGGCGCTCTACGAGGCCACCCTCACCGGTTTTGCGGGAGACTACAAAGTCGTCCAGGAGATTGACCATGCCTACGAGCATACCAACAAGCGGCCGTATGTATGTTGTATTTATGTATGCACTTATTTCTGTTTTTTGTGTTTTTTATGTATGTCTGTATGTATGTATGAATGTATGTATGTATGTCTGTATGTATGTATGTATGTATGTATGTATGTGTATGCATTGTGTATAATGTAGTGTAATGCATTGCAATGGAGCACAATGTAATTTAATGCAATGCAATGTAATTTAATACGATGTCATGCAATGTAACGTGTGTATTTTGTGTAATACATTGTATGCAATGTATGCAATGTATGTAATGTATGTAATGTATGTAGTGTTTGTAGTGTATGCAATGTATGTACGTACGCAATGACATGTAGTGTAATGCAATGTATTGCAATGTACTGCAATGCAATGAAATGTAAGGCATGAATGTATGTATGTATGTATGCATTCATGTATGGAATGTAATGTAATGTAGTGTAATGTAATATAATGTAATGAAATGTAATGTAAGGTAAAGTAGTGTATGTTTGTAATGGAATGTAATGGAATGTAATGGAATGTAATGTAATTTAAGATACCATAGTGTAATGTATATCAGTGCAATGTAATTGATATACATAGTTCTATATATATATATATGTGTGGGTGTGTTCGAGCGCTTGCCGCCACTGCGCTTGTTGGCCAGGAGCCCTCTTCGCCGGAAAAGACCGACACAGCTGCACTGCGCAATTCAGTTTCGTTCTTGTTTTTGAAAGTCACACTTTGGGTATGGCCAACACTTGAAGAGTTTGAACATTTGCCTCATCAAGAAAAGTGGCTGCACATCAACTCAAACTGAACACGAGGGCAGCTTAGTGATTTCTAAAGGACAGATACTTTGCCTTCTCTATCCAAGGGAGTTTGAGTTTTGCAGATTTGATTTACTCAATACAGCAGACATGAGCCCATCGAGTTGGTTTTTGGATTGCACGACCTGAGTGGCAGTGCGCGCTCTGTCCAAGGAGCTGCCAGCGAGCCCTGAGACTATTGAGGAGAAGCCTCAGGAGCAGAAGAAGGAAGACTGACGCGTATCCATTGTTTTGCAAGCTCCTTACCTTGTTTTGTCTATTTGCATACCTGTTGTTGCTACCCTTCTTTTCCACTGTCAAACCTCGGCCAGATGCAAGACGCGAACTCTTTTTTGCGCATGTGATTTTCCATTTCCCGCCGCTCAAAAGTGGTGGCGGCTCGCAGAGGTCACAGCTTCACGGGATTCGGACGGTCCTAGTAGCTCAGACGATCTCTGCTTAGATGTGTTCTGGGTGTTGGAATGGGCACCGGGCCTTCATGCGGAATTCCGCTGCAGAAACTCAGCATGTCCAAAGAGGGCACGCCGCCTTGCGCAATGTAAGGCTGTAAAGGTTGACTTTTGGTTCTTGAAGCGTCGACTAGTGCCGAAATGCAACAGGTGCAAAAACGGCTTCTTGCCTTCCTGCTTGTCCTTGGAGTTCTGCGAAGGTTGTGGGCCCGGCGTTTTTAGATATTGCTAATTGAGTGAACAGGAATGGTCATGAACTCTTCAGTATAGATTTCGGCAAGGCAGGAAGGTTCCTATGAAAGTGAGCATGGCCACAAGCCAACGAAATTTGTCCAGTCCACATTCCTTCCACATCCGTGGGGCTGGTTGCTCCCTTGCGACTTCGCTAAGATTCGCATCCAGCACTTCTGGCTCGGCATCCGGTGAGGGGCCCAGTGATTCACGGAGTCAAGCGCTTCATGGAAAATCTGTCAATCGGGCATATTTTTGCGGGATGGGTCCTAAAGGAACCCCAGAAGCGCTCTTTGGTTTGTTTTTTCCTTCAGAGCGTAGCGTGTCAATCTTTCAATGCTATGGTGTCCCCGAAGCCTCGTGGCTTCTCTTCAAGTAGTCCGCCTTTCAGCACCTTGTTAAGTTATGCATATCTCAAGCGATTTGGACTTGAGCTTGCCAGTGCCTTTGATATGGGTGTTGGGCCTTTCCAGGTAGAAGGTGAGCAACGTGAAGTGTCGGCATCGTTTCCGTGTCTAAGGATGGCACGGAAGGCCTACCTGCATGTTCTGCTCCCAGTCTGGACTACCTGCGAAAGGAAGGCGCGGCTCCGCATACTTTGCCCAAGTAGGGAAGTTAGTGTCCGATGTCTATACTCGCGTATCTGTTTATCTTCTGGTAGTTACTTTCGCGCTTGGCGAGATTGAGGAGTTAGTTTTCCTCCGCTCAAGCAGTGCGCAGGCCTGCGAGACGTACCACAAGGACCAGGAAGCAGCGGCGCGCGCTGCAGCCAAGGCGCTGCCGGATTGCCATGTTTGTTTTCTGAAGGCTCGCGAGCCCCCGAAAGGAAACCTAGATGAACTGCAGAGGTAAGCCGACCTCTCGGTTTCCTCCAAAAGACATTCTTTGGGACTCCAGCACCCTTTGGAAGCTTTAGCGCCCGATATGCCGTGCTCTGCTCCAAAGCAGCAGGTGTAGTTGCTTGGTGGCGTTCATTAGACAGTGAGTGCAAAGGCCCAAATTCCCCATACCTTTTTTGATGATGATTGCCGCTCCCTTGAGAGAGGCCCAGGATGAGAAGATGGCACAGATTGAAGGTGCGGTGGGCAGCGTGTCTAAGTGGCAGTACGTGGAATCTTTCAATTATGTGTATATGTATTCATTGAGACACATACATATACAATGTTTATGTACACAGACACATGTGGATATGCACGTGATATATATATATATACACACACACATACATACACGTTCATAAGTTGCCTTGGTGTGGCGTATCGCCGTTCTTTTTGTTCCGGCTGCACGCGCAGAATCACGGTTCTCAGGCAGAATTGGCAATGTTTTATAGCTGACAGCGGGCTGCAAGGACCGTCATGTTGCAGCTTCTTCTTGGGTGCAGGTGTTTGACACGAAATAGGCCGATGCGCCGATGCGCTTGAGTGCTCTTGCAAGCCGGTGTAGCCATGATGACAGGTGTGCTAGATGGCAAGGAGGGCAAGCGAACACCACGTAGCAGCCGAGTCTTGGACAATATTTCATTTGTGGCATTGCGAAACGTGGCGTTCATCGCACCTTGCACTGACTCTCCTGTTTTCTCACTTCGAATGTTGCCTTTGAAAGGACCATGTCGGGTGGGGAGGGGCAGCAAGGCGTTCTTCATTCACTGCTCTGCGTTTTATTCTGTCCATCCAGCACCCAGGGCCGGAAAGCAAAGATCGGGGCGCCAACAAGGACTGCTTGGAAACTGGTAACTGCATGGATGCTCGAAGGTGTTTTGTGTTCTCAATCTAGAGCAATCGCTTCCACGATGCGTTGCATGGTTGCCATTGGTAGAGGGGCATCAAGAAGCCATGAGGGGATCAAGCAGAGATTCCATGCAGTGGACACTTATTTGCGACGATCCCCTCCGTTGTCATGAACTGCGGATTCGCTGCTTGAGGACGCGAAGAAGAGGCCTGCGTGTTTTTAGCAGCACATCTGACCTTGGGCACGGAGATATCATTCTGAATGGTGCCTGATGTGCTTTTTCTCAAGCGTTTCGCGTCTCGTGTCTCCAGATGTGTTTCTCGCACCCAGCCATTTGCCAGGGTTCGCACGACGCTGTTCCAGGCCTCGGCCTCGCCGAGTGTTCGCGCTCGCGCGCATGTTGGTCGCGGCATAGCGCAAAGTCACTTCGTACTTCACGCGTCAGGTCACCGATGTGCAACTGCCGGTTGAAGAAGACTTGCCTCCATCTCAGCGCCTATCGTTTAGCAGAAGCTTGCCAACGCTCCTCCAACGCAAACTTGAGTGCAGACGCTCGTTTGGGAGCGTGGTTTAAGCGTGTTCAACTCAGTGAGCAGGAAAGAAGCCAATTGACCTTGAGCTCAAAGCCGCAATGGAACAGCTTTGGGTTCTGCGAGAGTGAAGCTGGCAAATTCACCTCTGGCGCTTTTTGCTGTCTTGCCTACTGAGGCCGGGCTACATCACGCAACTGGCGATCTACAGCCACATTGCCGACATGCAATGGAGCTTTCCGGCTCGAGCCGGGAGCCTCGTTCTGCAACTGCTCCCTGAAAGGTGAGGCAGTGTCATGTTCTGCTTGGATGCCCAGTTTGGAAAAATCTGAAACCGGAAAGGACTTGCATACATCGAGAATGTGAATCTTTTCATGGACCAATGGCTCTGGAAATGCTTGGAGGCTCTCTCCATAATTGGTGTCTCCCAGCAAGCAGGATTGTCTATCGTAAGCAGGTTGACCTACAACACCTCGCTGGTCTAGTTGCTGTCAAAAAGATCCCAAGCAAGATATGCCCATGAGGCAGGACAACCGCCTCTCAGGTGAAGCAATGGGAGGCGTCCATGCAGCAGGCTAAGGACACCGCCGAGGTCGAGAACTTCCTGGTGACCAGCGTCGCTCGGAAAAACAACACAAGCATTTTCGAAACACGGTCACGTGGGCCATATGAGTTTCATATTACTTGGTTCTTACATTGAGGTGGCTGTTTTGGAACCAGCAAACCAGTTGAAATCGCGGAGGCGGCTTTGAAGGCTCAGGAGAGCTCACAAGTGTGCACTCAAGCATAAAGCCTTTTGAAGGCCACGCTCCTTGTGCTTTCATCGAGTGGAGCAAACAAAGTTGAAAGGCGACACAAGTCCTTCAGTTTTCTTGCCATAAGCTTCCTGAGCAGACATGCTGTTTAACAACAATGAAGAACTGCTTTTCATCTCTCATTCGCTGTGTCTCCAGCGCTTGAGGCCTTCCCCTCTCTGGCCAAGCATCCAAAGTGGGCCAACAACCAGCAATAGTCATGACTTGAGACAAGCAGTTCACAACCACACCCTGCGGAGAAACCGGGGGTCTTGATGGACGCGCTCCAACACTCGGCTTGCGAATGATCCGAGATGGACTGCATTCAGTGCCCCTGCATTCAGGGCTTTCTGAGTATGAGAAACATCTTCGTTAAAGGAAAAACACACACACACACAAAACCAGCTGCGGTTTCAATGGTGAGCTGCCTCTCCACTCAGGAAGGCGAGAGCTCCAGCATGAAGCAGCTCCGCATGAGCCGGCCCCGCAAGATCTATGTGGACGAGGCCGGTTTTCGTGTCTTCTTTCAGCGCTGACCGTGTACAGAGGCATCTCACAAAGAGTTGAGCCGCCATTTGGCCAGGAAGAAATCATGGCCTTGGTGAGGACTGGGCACATTTTGGGAAAGTTGAGGCGGCAAGCAAGCGGATCAACACTGAGACCGCATGCACAACATCACCTGTCCCTGTGCGACGCTGTTTGTTGCTTTGTGGATATGATTTCAGCTGTGCAGCACTAGGATTTCAGCTGTGCAGCCCTTGCTGACTCACGGTGAGTCAGCAAGTTTTCATAGTCCCCTGAAGTATGAGCTCTAAGTCGTTGGAATGTGCGACCAAACAAGGGTCCTCAGTAAAGCAGGCTGCGGTTCTTGCACAATACCTACGACTTGGGTTTGTGTGACCAGGAGAACTCTAGACAGCTGGCACAGAGGCGGCTTCGTGCATGTGAAGGTTCGGGCCCCGAAGTGCTTGCAGACGGAGGGTGAGCCGCAACAGGGTCCTACGACTCCCTTTGTTCCAAGGGATCTACACCTAGTTCATGGACGGTTGGAGTTGAAAAAGCGAAACAATCTTCATGAGTCTCCAGGCGAATCGCTTGCGAGTCCTGCGCTTCGGCTGGCGCGTCGATGGCTCAGAGTTGGAGAAGCCTCATCAAAGTGACTATTCAACTCATGTTCCTCGAAGCGCATTGGAGGAGATTGCGTTCTCTCCTGAGGCCTTCCTTTCAGAGCGAATGAAGAGCAACATGAGCAGCGCAGGCAGGGTGGTCAAGCGCATTTTCAAGACTTATGACCAGTTCTGGAAGAACGCACAGTGGACTTCAACGGGATTCGATATGGAAGATATCAGCTGGAACGATACAGGCGCTGTCGACAGAGGCAGTTCCCCAACACTCGAGTGGGGGCGCATGCCATCAAGAGATCACCAAGCACAAACGACAAACGGCAAACAGCTACATCAAAGACGTCAGCAGCAGTAGCCGAAAAACAGGCACAGCAGTTGTACCACCACCACTACCACCGCCGCCACCGCCGCCGCCGCCACCGCCACCCCCGCCACCGCCGCCACCGCCACTGCTACTGCCATCGCCACCGTCACCGTCACCGTCACCATCACCGCCACCGTCACCGCCACCGTCACCGTCACCGCCACCGTCACTGCCACCGTCACCCTCACCGTCACCAGCATTAGCATCACCACCACTGCTGCCTCAGTGGTTCTGTCAGAAATAGCTTTACATTCTCAGCTTGAAGCACTAAACTTTGCGAATCCATGAATCAATTAGGTTTTCTTGTGGAGCTTCGTGCGGCTATACTTGGCAGAGTTGGATGATGCGATGTAGCATCCCACGGTATCTTCCACATGTTTATCCCTTTCCGTGGGAGCTTGGAAGATCAGGCAGCCCGGGGCGCCATGCCACGGCCCGGAGCGGAGAGCGGCGAAAGGCCGGACCCATGGATCCCAGACCGGCGCCACGGATTGACCTAAGAAATTGTGCATTTAACATTGGAACTTCAGATTGCACCCCCGATGGGCGGCAACCGAATGCGGTCTTGGAGCAACCTGCGCATGTTGAGATCTTCTTACTTCTTTTGCTTTCATGTATTGGTATGGTCTGGCTTTGCTTGTGACATGGGTGGCCATCGCAGTTTTCCCTGCCACGCACCAGGATCAGGAGGTCCAAACGAGTATCTACATTGATCATGTAAGATGACGACCTTGCTTTTGCCAAGAAACACAGGGAGCTGGGACCTTGAGACTTGAGAGTGCTACGAGCTCTCGGACCCTGCGAAATGAACAGTGAGTTGCACATATCGTCATGATGTCCTCTGCACCGTCGCATTTCTGAGATGGTGTTGGAGTATTGTGCAGAGAAATGTGAGAACAGATTGAGGCGTCCAAAAAAGGCTGAAGGGGCTCTCATATGTCACAGCAGCCCTGCCTCAGGAACGCGGAGAGCGGCAGATGAAGAAGGCAGGGATTGTCAATGTGCGGTTCCTCTGATGATTTCTCGTGCCTCTTGGGTAGGTCCGAACACAGTTTCGGGTCACTTGTGCTGCGCATGGGCAGGCCCAATCCACGGTGCAGCCAGATGAAGGCGTCAGGGTCCAGCAAGGTCAGAGATGCATGTGAGGCCGATATCTGCATTTTTGGCAGGTGACAACGAGTGAGTCTCTGCGAGTGTAAACACCTTGAGCGGCGCCTCTGCAAAGAGGGACGCCCTAAACTGTTCTCGAGGCTGGATGGTCCAGCTGAACAGATGTACATGTTTTGCAGCGACAGCTTGCCTGCCGCTACCCCTCTACTTGCTAAGTTGCTTATCTTGGAAGCTGGTTTTGCCATGTCTGAGTTTTCAGAAGAACTTGCAGGGCCTCCATTGCACTTGTTGGATGGCAAAGGCCGGGTTCAAAGCTCTTGTGCCGGCGAGTTTCTTGCTGTTGCAAGATGCAAGGTCGTGACACATTCCACGCTGAAGTATTCGCTAGCTCTGAGCAGATGTCACATCCGCGACATTTCGCACTTCGCGAAGCAAAACAATAGCAGCGTGCCATCGTGGTTGTTACTGTTTTGGCTTGTGACATTGCCCGACGTTTGCACTGTTCCATGGAACCAGCATGCAGTTTCAATGCCTCAAATTTGGAGATGTCTGGGATGTGGTGCGATGAAGGTTTGCTCTCAAAGTCTGAGACATTGACTGCCGTGTCAGCTCCCCTGGCCTTCCCGTCCGGGTGGCTGTAGCTCCGGAGCATGCGGAGGTACGTCCAGTACCTGGCTGCGACGCGGCCGTTTCTGCTTGGCCTCATCCTCTTCGTAGGCTCAGCTGGGAGATGGTGGATGGCTGTTAGGCGAGGCAACTGGCACTGTGGCCCAGTGGAAACATCGACCCAATAAAAAGTCTCAAACGATGGGGAGAGCGCACATGCAAAATCATTGGTTGGTGGAGTGGTCAGTCCCGAGAACTTCATCAGCCTGCTGATGTTGCTTCAGAAGTGATGGCAAGCTGCACTCTCAAGACTGAAGGCCAAGCTCTTTCATCATTTGTTGACAATGGGAATCAATGAACCCTGCAGAGCGAGAGAGAGAGAGAGAGAGAGAGAGAGAGAAAGAGAGAGAGAGAGAGGGAGAGGCCTTTTGCTTTCCAGCGCTGCACACATGGCTTTCATGGCTGCAGACTTAGAGGAGACGAGGACAGCCAGAGACAGCCCATATACACCTGCTGCCCGAACAGCTCAAGTGTTAGCAGTCACATGGGGCTGCCACGCAGGTAGAGCCGAAAAAGCAGCATGTGCAAGCCGACCGAACCTCAAAGCAAAGGTGCAGAACCCTTTTCTCACCCAGTTGGCCTACTTGGCCCAGATGGCAATTCGCAGTTGAAGCCCACTTGGCTTCACGTGCAGAAGGCGTTCGCGCCCGGAGCCATGCCTTCAAAGGCCATGAGCGGCTCCCTGAAGGCCCCGAGTTGGTCGATTGGATTCGGGGGGGGGGGGTGCAACTCCAAAGGATGCCCAACAAAAGGATGCCCGCTGTGAATCAACCAGAGGACTATGAGCTTGTCAGTTCTGGACCCACTACGAAGTTGTTCTCTCTTCAAGGATTCCTGATTTGGCGCTCCTCATGACGCGAAACAATCCAGTCCATGAGCCGGGGCTTTGCTGGCAAATGCAACGCTGGGAAGGCAGCACTCTGCACTCGTGATTGAACATAGCCCAGTAGAAGCACAGGGGGCCTAGACCAGAAGGTGCGTGCAGTGTGCCGGGCTGTCCTGACCTTTGGCCATGTCACGCATTGAGCTGCATTTGTTACTTTGTTACTGGGCTTTGCAGACGGCCCTCGTCCCACATGTGGGAGGGTGCCAGGGATGGTGCCGCACGTAGCTTCAGCAAACCGACCAGGGCACCAGGAAATCCTAACAGATCGTACAAGAAACAACAAGGTGGTTCCCTCTTATGAAAGGAATCCACAGGAGCTCCCATGCCACGAAATTCACAGCGCAGTGCGAAGGCCACGCAGTCTGCCACTGCGCTCAAGGCCGCCGCCAACGCCACTCTGAACGATGCAGGCAGCGTTTGGCATTGCCGGAACCCAGTTTCGGGGGAGGCGTTTTCCATTTTTGACAGGCAGTGCTAGCGATTCGAAGACAGGTGGCTATTTCAACGGCACCATGCAGCGGACCCAAGGAGCGAGTTTGCATACCTCTGAAGCATGCATTGGCGGTGTGAGACAAGCTGCAAAGAGGGCACTTCTGAATGCTCTCATATCTGCAGGATTGGGTAACCGGACCATGCTGCCCAACAAGAACGTGACAATGCTGAAGTCCAGAGCTTTGCTGATACTGACTGTCCCCACAGGGCTGACGATGCTAAATGGAACACGAGACATTTTTTGTTGGCACAGGTTTTGGGCACAGCAAAAGAGCCCAAATTTGTTGGGACTGACTGAGGCAGATTGAGACTATTTGGGATGAGGAACCTGACGATCAAAAGATGCATGATCAGAAGAGGACTGGCCTTGCGTCTGCTATCCGGATTCAACGGTCTGTCACCGCAGCAAGAATCGGACTTAGCCAAGACTTTCTTGACAAACAACTTGGCTTCCAGGCTTTCTGCATTGCTGATAATTGCAGTGTGTCAGGCACTGTGATCAGCGGTTGAATCCACATGACAGAGATACTAAGACTGCTGTCCCCAAGCCAATGTTCACCCTTTCAACCTGCTGGCTGGTCGCTTTCAAACTCTCGACGACAAACGTCTCCCGCCCGGCCCTCGCTGCAAAGTTTCCAGGAAGCTGAGATCCTTGGCAAGCCGAGTGGATCGTATGGCAGGCGCTAGACACTTCCAGTTCTGATGGCCGACGCTGCACCACTTCTTACATCTGCCCCTTGCGAGTCGCACCATGTCAGGTGTTTTTGAGGAGGAGACACGAGCTCGGCAGGAGCAGCGCACGGGACCCGACCATGGGCCTGTGGGTTTCAGTGTTTGTGGCCTGGTACACTTTGCGAGCATGCGGAAGAGGAGGGCAGGGTGTTGGGGTTGGGGGTTCGATATAGATTCAATTGAGCAAGTCTAGGCCGGATTTGAGATCGACCAGTTTCTGCCTACAGCTGGACCATAAGAACTTGGATACCTTGAATTGCGGGCTTCATTTCGCAAATCATGCTTTGGCTATGAAAAGTGGCCGCTCACTCGCTCCCAGGCCGACTCATGGATGAACTGCATGACGAGCAGATGCAGCGCATTGATGAGATTGGGGCCAGGGGCCTGGTAAATCCTTGGAAAGGGCGTTTGCGGCCTCTGAAACGGAGAGGAAGACTCTCTCTGGCAGATCCAAGCTGACCGAGGAAGAGCTGGACCAGGCCATGGCAGAGCTGAAAGCCTACATTGAGGAGTTCATGAGAAAGCGCGGGCCCCCACAACCCGCCCCTCTGCCCGAGACGTAAAATAGGTTGTCTACGATCACGGCATGCTGTTCGGGAGCTCGATTGAAAGGAGCTTGGCGTTGGACATGCCGTGAATCACGCATCGACATGTCACTACGGTGGACCATGAAGCAAAAGGAATTGAGCTGCCAAATGAATGCCCCACAGCAAGCTATGGCCATGTTTATTGGGACTTTGCATGCCGCACTGCATGGAAGCTCATGCTGTTGTTTGCGAACATCCTTGGGGGCTGAAGTTCGCGTAACAGCCTGGATGTCGTAAACAGGGTAACCTTTTCCGGGGCACCACGAGCAGAGAGAGACATGCAATACGCCAAGCTGGTGAACCAACCAAATGCATAGCCCCTCTGAGCTGCGCTGTCTTCGCGCTAACACAACTGCTGTCGGGAATCGCAAAGAGACACGCTCAGACACAGACACAAACAACAGGATAAACACATACATCAACCAACTAATCAAACACACAAATAATAACAACGCCAGCAAGCGAAATAATGCAAAGACGCAAAGAACACACACACACACACACGCAAAGAAGCAACGATACCAACAAGCAAAGCCACCGAGACACAACATAGAAATCACAAGCAAAGAGCCGTCACGTAAGCACGCGCGCAAGCGCGCAGACGCAATCGCACACGCAAACGCACACGCACACGCACGCGCACACGCACACGCAGACTCATGCGCACACACACACACACCACGCACACAAGACACACACACACACACACAGCACACACACACACACACACACACCCAGCACACACACACACAAACCACACACGCATACACACACACACACACATACTCCGTCTTACACAAGCAGACACACGCACACACACACACACACACACATACACACTACTCTTGTACAGGCTAAGTTTCGCGCATCACCAGACGTGCGTGTGCGTTCTGACCTTGTGTTGGGGGTTTGGAAAGCCCGGGGGCCTGGGCCAGGGCCAGGCGTTTCTGCTCCTTGCCTTTCAGGTTTCGAAAGGAGCTGGAGGACACCTTCACAAACCTCTTCAGTCGTCTGCCCAGAGCTTTTTGGCATCGGTCTGGTGGCTTTATGCACGGATTCAGCAACAGGCACAGAAGGCGAGTTGAATGACTTCTCGCATGTGCACTTAACACACTTTACATATATATATATAGATAGATAGATATATACAGATAAGGGCCATCTCAATTCTATAATGTCTATATCATATCCATATACATACAGTTACAGTGCATATATATATATGTATATCTATATATATGTACATTCCTCACAGACATGTTCACACTCACCTCCTGCTCGAACTTGCTTGTTTGATCTTCAAGCCGGGTTGGTCCACCACCACCGGTTTTTGTGTTGACCCTTGTCCAAAACAATACCACGCGAGGTGAACTGCAGCAGCAGGTGGACCTCATCACGCCCCGGCTCGCCGCGCTGGGGAGCCCAGCTGACCGGGCGTAGGAATGGGCGAACCGAAAGGGAACCAGCAGCTATTGGCATATACGGCATATACTATTGGTATTTCCTCTGAATTCCCTCAGCCCCAAGAGTTAGTGCAGTTAGTGGCCATGCTTGTGAGCAGTCCCTGTGGCTGTTTGGTGCTTCTTGAGGTTGGAAGCGCGGGGGCGTGTGTTGCAAAACGGAATTGAGGAGGACACGTCTGAGACACACAGATTTGCATGGCACGTCTCCAAGTGATTGGGACACTCTCACAGGGTGCAGCGGCATGACTTCCAATTTGTCTAGGCCAGAGTTGTGTGCACTTGGGCGTTTCTCGGCTGATGGTTCCTTGACATACTTGAGTGGCATTATGACCCATCCCTTCGCCAAACAGGAGCGGCAGGAGCGTATACGCCACTACGCAGAGATCTTGGTGCCCGTGAAGGCGCAGCCATCGAGGTTTGGGAGTTTTTGAAGCAAGAATGGCCACCAACGCTCCTTCTTTGCCTCTTTGGTTTCGGGTCTGGGAGAGGGCCGGGATTGGAAGGAGGGGGAGCCTTGGCTGAAACACATGTGGCCCCGCCCACAGCGGTCGCTTGTTGCGCAAGGATGTCATGAACATGGGCCGGGGGGAGCGGGGGCGCCTTGGCAAGGCACAGATCGCAAAGCTTGAGCAGGGCCTTGAGAGGGAGGAGAAGGTCCGACAGGTCATCCCTCCCTTGGGCTTGAGATGCTGTGTTGGTCAAACCTGTCTCCGTCCCTTGGCGTACGGCCAGAGAGGAGCTAAACGGGTAACATCCGCAGTCCTTTGGCCGTAAGGCACGGTGAGAACACGAAGAAGAAGGGGCCAGCGTTGACTGAATTCTTGCAGCGTCCTTCACGAGGCCCAAGTGCTCGACTTGATAGGGTTGCATGAGGAACTTGGGCTCAGATTCAGCTCGTGCCTCGCCGCTTTGCTAGTCCTTTCAAAAATAGGTAGGACACAAGACCCAGTCCCTCGATGAGGCCATACCAACTGCAAGCACCCGCTCCCCGATCACTTCGGTCAGCTTCTTCCTTTCAAAGCATCATCGAGAGTAGCAAAGTGAATGAGCATGGCCTTGCAGCACTTGTGGCAAGGCCTCAGGGCCTACCAAAGTCACCCCCCCCAGCGCTTCTTTGCTCGCTGCTTGACTCAGCACTCACGCCATGGCGTGTGGGACAGGTGCAAGGCTGGGCGCCGGGCGGGAGCGGAGCGGAAGTGGGAAGTGGACCTGGCAAGGCCATGGCGATCCGCACGCAAGAGGAGATGTGCGAGTGCCCTCGGCAAGGATAAACGCGAAGGGGTGTCGGCGAAGGGGTGTGGGAGGAGAGTGTCTTTAGTCAACTGGCAGAGCTTCAAGCCTCAAGCAAGTTGCTCTTTGAGGCTCCAAAGGCTGCTCTGCTTCCAAACACGTATCTAGGCACTTCCTGCCCATCCTCAAGGAGAAGGGCACACATGTCAGAAAGAAGGGCATGCGCCTCGCAAGGCCGCTCCTGCCTCTGGACTTGCCTAAGCAGGAAATGAGACCGGGGGGGGCGAAAGGGCACTCTCGAGAGGCGGCATGAATGCTTGAATTGACTGCTCGAATTTATTGACAGGCAGCAGAGTGGTGTCATTCAGCCTTAAGAGCACGGTACTGTAGCCCTTTCAGAGGGCACTGTATTGCATTGCCAGATCCAAATCCACCTTAGTAGGTGCCAATGCTGGGATGTGATTTATGTTTCTGCAGATGCTGACGACACAAGTTCTGGGCGTGCTTCCAGGCCAGCCCGTCCAGGGGAGGAGGTGCTCACCATTGTCAATGGCGAAGTGGTAGCAAGGCTGGGGCGTTGGGGCTGCTGGGGGTGTGTGCATGCTCGCGCGTGCTTGCGCTTGTGCTTGTGCTTGATCTTGAGCTCGTGCTTGTGCGAGTTCTTGAGTTTGTGCTTGTGCAAGTGCGTGCGTGCGTGCGTGCGTGGGTGGGTGCGTGGGTGCATGGGTGTGTGGGTGCGTGCGTGCGTGCGTGCGTGGGTGCGTGGGTGCGTGGGTGCGTGGGTGCGTGGGTGGGTGCGTGGGTGCGTGGGTGCGTGGGTGCGTGGGTGCGTGGGTGCGTGGGTGCGTGGGTGCGTGCGTGCGTGGGTGCGTGCGTGGGTGTGTGGGTGCGTGGGTGCGTGGGTGCGTGGGTGGGTGCGTGGGTGCGTGGGTGGGTGCGTGGGTGCGTGGGTGCGTGCGTGGGTGTGTGCGTGGGTGCGTGGGTGGGTGCGTGGGTGCGTGGGTGCGTGGGTGCGTGGGTGCGTGCGTGAGTGCGTGCGTGCGTGCGTGCGTGCGTGGGTGCGTGGGTGCGTGGGTGCGTGCGTGGGTTCGTGCGTGCGTGGGTGCGTGGGTGCGTTGGTGGGTGCATGGGTGCGTGCGTGCGTGCGTGCGTGCGCGGGTGCGTGGGTGCGTGCGTGCGTGCGTGCGTGAGTGAGAGTGAGGCCGAATTTGGTAACATGGCGATGGTAAGTTGAATGTTGCCTTTGGTACCTTTGTGATGGCAAGCCTTTTCCCTGCTTAACTCATGGCTTGCTGCGGCACTCCAGCTGGCTGGTGGCACTGAGGACGAAAGCCAAGCAAAGTGGCAGCATGGTGATCCGGCAGGACAGTGCTGGCGCGTCGCCAGTTGGCAGATGCAGGCAATCGTGCTTCCTTTTGCATGCATGTCCGGGCAAGACGCTCTCTGTCTAGCTTTGATCGCATTATTTGTTTGTTCTGCTTTTGGAGGAGTCTGCCGACCATGAGTTCTACCTTCTTGATCCAGAGAAATTTGCCAAGAACTACGACACGGCGGGTGTTGATATCACCGAAGCAGGGCCCACTTTTGACCAGCTACCTGGCATACACCGTAATTTGTTTGCGTCCGTCGCAGAGGAAGGGAAAGAAGCGTGAGGCAAGTGACGAGCGGCGAGAAAGTGTTTGTGGTTGGGGCTGCCGAACTCAGTGACAGCAGTTGCCACCTGCTTACAGGCTGCGACAGAGGAACTTCAAGTACTACCGTCGGAAGGGCGAGCTGCTCTTGTACCAGGCATTCGGTTTTGGATATTTGGCTTTTTGGCGGCTGATGGAAGGAGGCTTTCTCCCCCCAGGGTTGCAGCAGGTGTTTCGTTTACCGACAGGTCACAGAGGAGGACATGAGCTTTGTGACGGCTCGTAAGTTCCAGGCCAGACCGGGAATATCTCTTAATTGCATTTCTGCGAATCCCTTTGCTCATGACTCTTGGCAGTGGTTCCTTGTTGCTAGTCGCTGGTCGAGACACACAGACTTGCCAGTGCAAACACAAAGGCCTTGATACAATCATGTGACACGTGCATGTACACATCTCATTTTAGACAAATTTACAAATTGAACCACTTACGCGCATACGCACACACACACACATAATACGCCCACAAACAAAAAACAAACACATACTAACTGATGGATCTTCAGGTGGCCTTCAGTGCCTCGCCTGTACCTCTCAGCCTAGGCGGGAGCTACGTCCTGGCTTTTGGGGTCGGCTGGGGAGCGCGATGTTACACGGATTCATCGGGCCCAGTGAATTGTGGCAGAGCTGGGCAAGTCTGAGGGTGGCAGGCCGTCACACTCCTGAGGGCTTGGACAACTTCCTACTGCAGTAGCCAGATTTGATACTTCACTCTCATGGAAGGAAAAGGAGTAGAAAGCGGAACAGCCGAGTTTTCATCTTATTTTCCAGCGATGGGCGATCTCCAGTCCCTCAGGCGATTTCCTGGTCACGGCCTTGCCTGAGCTCTCCGAGATCTGGGTAAGCAGCTTCGGCCAATAGCGCTCCTGTCGATGTCTGGGTAAGGCAGCCATTCTCAAGGCCTTTCATAGGGGACTTCTGGTGAAGTTTGTGAGAGTTCTGCTTTGCTACGGCGCACGTTCGCTGAGGCAAGCATTCGGTGATCTACGAAGACGGGGGCACGGCCCCAGGGCTTCCAAAGGCAGTGGCACTTCAATTTGTTGGGTGGAACACCGCCAAACAATGAAGGGAAGCAGCTGGCTTGGTTGATATTTCTGCTTTTGGGTACCTTCTTGCTTCTGCCTCAAGTCATAGGGAACATGCAAGAGGCCAATTTCCGAAGTGCGTGTCGTTCCGAGGCCAACTTTCAAAGTCTCCTGGGGCCCGCTTGCAGGCTGGCAGTGCAGCTTGCATTAGGGACCCCAGTTGGTTTCATGTTCTGCTCAGGGCCCCCTATTTTGAAACAAACCTGCACGTCTATCTGCAGAGAAGCAATTTGGGAGGTTTCCAGATGCTGTAGTTGACCATGAACTACTTGAGGGTTGCCAATTCAGCGATGAGAGGAACGTCACCGGGGATGTCTTTAGACATACGGGCGCCAGGAGATTTTCAAGTGGGGTTATCCATGGCTCATGGCCAGGCGGAGATGTGTGAGCACTTCGTTCCCATCATGAAGTCCGCCCGTCGATGTTGCGGCCTGTGCGGTTGGCCAACGGCTCTAATCAGGATCCTGACAAGGAGCACAGAACAAATTGTGCAGAATTTGTTAATGTTGAAACGCATGTGGAAACATGAACTGTGTGTGGAATGCTTGACCACAATGGCATGTGCCATTTTGGCTCAAGCATTGATCTGGGTTCCTGGAACCCAAGCTGTTTGAAAAAGTTTGATCTGTGGCACTTTCGAACTTAACCCCGACCAAGCAATGGCTTCCTCGGCAACCTCGGCAACTTCCTTTGAGCTGATTGAGGACCAGACACTCACCGTGGAGGAGGTTGAAATGGCCAGCCAGGAGGCCCAGGACATTCGCACACGGGAGGCGGCAGTGGCGGCCGGCTTGGTTTTGGACGAGCCCGAGGCCCCCCCGTCATCTTCGGCGACCGATGTGATGAAGGACCTCTCCAGTGCACTGGAGCGTCTCCATGTGGCATTTGCCACTCCGACTTCCGGCTTGGGTGCCCCTGGCCCCGCCGAGGAGGGCGACGAGGGCATGGGGGATGCGGACGGCATGGAGCGGACCACACCACCGGAGGAGGCGCAGACGCCTCCCACGAAGAGACTGAAGGGCTTCGTGGCGGCTTCTCAGAAGGCTACGTCCCAGACCAACAAACCCGTCTCCTTGGTGCCGGTGGACGGCAAGCCCGGGTACTTCAAGCTGGTGGACCTCCCGGATCTGTTTCCAGTCCTTCCAGCGTCGGCGGCCACCTTGCTGAGGGACATTACGGTGGAGGAGGCGGTCTCCCTGTTCCACAAGTTTGTCGGGAAGAATCTCACCGAGGACCTGGTGATTCGCATCCTGGAGGCGTATGTCCCGATGAAGATCCAGCTCCGCCAGGAGGAAGTCTGGGCTTCGCAGTTCCAGAGGAACAAGGCGTGTATCGGCACCCAGCGCATGCACAGGCTCGATGCAGGCCATTCCGATTACAAGTTCATGTGCAAGGGGTGGCCAGAGGCAGCCAAGCAGTGCTGGGTCTGCCCCGGCAAGGAGTTCGCCCCCTTTCAGGCACCCTCGGCCACCTATGAGGCGGACGGCATCACCTACAACCTGCTCATCGTGGAGGGCAAGCCGACCTGGATCCAGCAGCGAGAATGGGGAAGCCTGGGTGCCGCTGGCCCCGGTGGTACCCGGGCACAGGCCGACCGCAACTTGGTGGACGGCACGGTCTTGGGGAGAGCCCCCCCAAAAACGGACACGGCAGATGAGATCACCATGGCAGATGCGGTCCCGCTTAACAGGCGGGTGGACATCCGGCAGGAGATCCTGTCCATGGAGGCGGACGACGAGGCGTTGAAGGTCCGGGAAAGCCAGGAGATCAAGGTCAAAGTGCAGCGGTCCCTGAAGGAGGCGGAGGCTCAGAGCTTCCAGCTCTACCACCCCCAGGTGGACCAGGCGATCAGGAAGAAGGAGGAGCTGCATAAGGCCTTGCGGGAGCATCGGGAACCGACTCCGGAGGAGGCCTCGGCCAGGCGGCGGCACAAGGAGTTGGTCACGGAGGAGATGCTGGACAATGAGATGGCTATCCTGGCGCCTCTCCAGGAGGGCATGCAGGCCCTGCCGTCAGAGGAGGTGGCCAATGAGGGAGCCCGTGCCCTCAGGAAGGTCAACCTGGCGTTTCAAGGCCAAGCTGAGAGACCAGTACTTGGAGGGGAAGGGCGTTGACGCCAGCCAGGCGTTGGCTGAGGCGATGGGCTCCATTCAGGAGGCTCAGGCGGCAAACAAGCGAACCCAGGACACCAACCAGGCATGGATGCTCAACCACACTCAAGCCCTTGGCAGTGTCGGCCTTAGGCAGGCCCTGGAGAGGGGCCTATTCTGCCCCCTGGAGCTGGATGACCCCGAGGACATCCCCCCGATCAGGTGGGGGACATCAAGGAGAAGTATGTCCCCGACATCAGGATGCTCAGAGGGAGGCACTGCTGGAGGAGATGCCCCCGGGGGGGACCAGCCAATGTCACAGCAAGACCTGGACTCTGAGGATGGCAAGCTGTCCCTTATCCTCTGGGCAATGAAGCGGCACCAGGGAGAGCTCCGGATGTTTGGGGGGATTTGGAAGAAGCACGCAAGCGGTGAGATCCCCCGGGGCGCGGACCAGCAGTTTAAGCTCGCGCCGGAGGAGCTCCTGGCCCTTGAGCGCAGGACTCACCCACTCACGTGCGAGCAGGACCACTTGGAGATCCGAGCTCAGGTGAACCGGGGTGAGCGCCCGGCGCCCGAGCAGGTGGTGGGCATTTTCTGGGCGAAAGGTGATGGGGTGTTCTGGACCAGACAGACGAGAACGTGGGACCTGCCGAGCCTTACGGGCGTGTACGCCCACAGGTTCACATTCAAGTACATCTACTCGGCCTGGACCACTTTCCCGTTGATTGTGAAGACGCAACGCCGGGGCCGCAATGCGGAGGGCTCGACCTCGGACAAGTGGATGGGCAACATCCTCCAGATGAGGAAGGAGGCGGTGCCCTTCCTGGAGAGCCTGGGCATCCCCAAGCCGCGCAACAAGGAGGAGTGGAGCTACATTTTCAAGGAGATGGGGACATTTCTGGCGGCAAAGAATTTCATCGTCAACTGCCCGTTGCCCGTGATGGAAATGCCGGTGGCCCCCATCCATGACAGTAAGGAGGCGCTGCGTTTCAGGGCAGTTTGCGACGAACGAATCACCCTCCCGCTGGCCGCGCTGAAGGCCTTCGACTCGGTCTACACCAAGTTGGTGGCGGGCCTGAGCAAGTCTTCGATGGTGGAGGTGAAGGTGAACTGGCGCTGCAACGTGGTCCACTGGGTCGAGCAGGTCGCACAGGAGGCGGCGGGGGCCTTGTACGACAGGTTGGGCTACTCCCAGGACCTCATCCGGCAGCTGGGTTGCTCCCCCCCCTTGGGTGCCGTTGGCCCCGGGGGGGGAGCGGCCAAGGAGGCATCACCACGGCCACGGTCACGGCGGTTGCGGGCCGGAAGTACATCAACAAGCACTTCCCCAAGGAGACGAAGCATGTGTTTTGGGCCTCTGTGGAGTGTGGCTTGGTCCTGCCAAGCATCAGTGCCTGGGAAGTGGTGAGCAAGGAGAAGTTCAAGACCACGGGGGGCTACATGTGCAGATTTTGCAAGGGCGAGCCGCGGGGGGACCAGACTGCTCCAGATCACGGGGTGGCACAAAGATAAGGCCACCTGCTTGCAGCTGGTGATGGACGAGCCCTTGGAGGACCTGGAGCCCCGGGTAATGGAGGACACGGACAACGACAGCGTGCTCATGCTCCGACAGATGTACCTGACCTCGCTGGCCTACCAAGGACTAGGTCAACTAACGGTCCCACAGGTGCTTCCTGGAGCACCCAATGGACCCAATGGAGTGCAGCAAGAGCCCGAGCGCAGCGAGGTGCTCTTCGATCTGGGTCACACGGGCCTACACTCAATGGGCGAACGCACTCCACCACTCCCTCATCAAGTTTGACGAGTGCCGCCTGGGCCAGGTGGTAGTGAAGTCCACGACGTTGTCAACGGACCTTCCCCCTTCACCATTGGCATGATCTGCGATGCAACCACGGAGCTCACCCCAGGGGGGAAAAGCTCAACTCCAGTGACCTCAGCCGGTACCCAGAGCAGATGATGCAGGGTCTCGCGGCGGCCATCCTTTGCAGAGCGGGACCAGTCCTGGAGGCGCTGAAGCCGGGGGGCACGGTGCCCCAAGTGAACCCAACGACCCTTCCGAGGCGGCAAAGGGAACCATCTCCTAGCACGCCGGGGGACAACAAGCGCCAGTCCCTGAGGCTAAAGGCCGGCCAACAAGCGTTGGCAGGACTAACCCGGGCTCACTTCCGGTCTCGGCCTCAGACAGTCCTGCGGTCCGGACACCAACACAGCCGGCTGGCAGGACGGTCGAACTTCGGGGTGAAACTCTTCCCCTTCAGCCATGGGCGCGCCATTGCATGGAGATCTCGGATCGGCCCACCACCCTGCCGATCACGCACGACCCAAATCTCTCCGACAAGGTTATGTACCTCCAGATGGCCTTCAAACAGCGCCCCCTCAGGGACGGGGGTGGGAAGCCCTCACTTGGACGGCTGGCTCCGTTGGTTCCGTGGACGAGGCCACTGTCCAAAGCAGCAGCGTTGGGGGCCAAGATCTGTGTCCTCACGTCGCCATGGGGGGACAAACTCCAGGAGTCGCTCTCGTTGGGGGATGGGTCACACCCCTTCCCGGAGGATCTGCTGGAAGATATCAGGGAGATTCTGGCGTTAGGGGCAGGACGACCAGCGGAAGGCCAACCCTTCTTCCTGGACATCTTGCACAGCCTGGCGCTGAACATTCAGGACCCCGACCACCAGTTTCCTCGGGATCTGGAACAAGGGGTCCCACTGGGGGTCACGGACCCACCCCTAGCTTCGCCGGGCATCTGGCCACTCAAGAAGGAGCTAAAAGGGGAGGAGCCGGAGTTCCAGGAACTCCCTCATCCGATCACTTCAGCGAGCTCATCCGTAGCACATTCCTGTGGGCATGGTAGATGGCCCTCTCACCAAGGTAGAGGCAGCAGCGCGCTGTGGCTGCAATATGGAGGATCTTTGTCCAGGCCCCCTACCGGGCATCGACGAGGAAAACAAGATCCGCACCATCTACGATGGCTCGGTGGGCGGGGCCAATGACACCATCAGGAACCAGACGGTGGAAAGGACGACGGCTCCGACGGTGCTGGATGGGGTACAAGCTCTTCATTGGCTACATGCGGCAGCTGAGGAGGGACCTCCCTCTCAGGGTGCCTCTGGCCCCGAGAAGGAGGTCGCCAAATCTCCACCCGAAAACTGGCTATGGCCGGAGCCGGGCACCAGGTGGGTGCTGCTCAAGGCACGTCACCAAGGCTCACCGGAGAGTAAAGGTCCTCAGAAAGGACTGGCGGTTCCAGGTGGCTTCACTGGGGGAAGAATGGTGGGTGAACAAGGTAGGCACATACGGCATGGCCAGTGCCCAATCC